CCGCCGGAACTTAAGACAAACGGGTCAAGAAGCCGAAAAGAATCAACCCAGAACTGGCAGGGTTCATCTGACCGCAAAGAAAGTCTTTCGGACCCCAGATGGCATAAGCGACCTCCCACGAAGGCAAAGAAAGGAAAGCCCGATTTAACAAAATCGCCACAACAAGAGTTCCACGACACATCTTCAACAACACCCGTACGGGATGCCAGGGAAAAGCTATCGGCTAAGAAAAAGATAGAGACCAGTACAAAATCAACTTCAAGATTATCTTCACGGATACGAATACATCTGGAAACACAACGGTCAAACCCACACTAAAAGACACCATGAAGACGACGCAGACACAAACAGAAACACATAATACAACAACAACTACACAAACAGTCGAACCACAGATTACAACGACAACTACACAAACACCAGAGAGAAGCAAAGACACCGCAGAAATCTCAACGACAACCATACAAACACCCGATAAAAGCAAAGACACCACAGAAATCTGTGTGAGTCGTGTAGACCCGACTATCCGCAAAGAAGAAGAGCTGACACATAACGTAGAACCACCAACAATGGGACCGCCTACACAGTTAGAAGCCAGCCACGAAATGATTGAAAGATCGAAATCTGCGTCCCTTAATTATTTTCGTCGAAAAGAGGGATTGGGAAGCTATCAAGGCTTACTACGGACAGTACTGGCACAATATTCGGAACAGGCTATATGTCCGAGAGGATTGCCTACTCATAGACGAGAGAATCGTCATTCCTACCCAATTGAAGCAGACAGTGCTAGACAGTCTCCATTTGACACACCCGGGATCGGCAGCTATGTTGGACGTGAGTAACCATGTCTGCTTCCCGCATATACACCGGGCAATTGTGCAAATGGCACAAAATTGCAAACACTGCAATGAGCAAGGTAAAAATTTAAAACCCATCATAGGAAAGAAACTTTCGTTCCAAATAATATAATGAACATAATGAGGAAGTACAATTAGATTTCGCCGGGCACCTGCCGGATGAATTGAATAGAGACGCATACATTTTAGTTGCAATAGATTAGTGGTCTAAACTTCCAACTGCGAAATTCGTTAGGAATACAACAGCGGACATCGCTATAAAGTTTATGCAACGGTACATTTCGAATAACGGGGCACCCCGAAGATTAATATATGACCAAGCACAGACATTTAAAGCTAAAAATTTCAACTGTTTTGCAATACGAACAATATAAAACTATTGTTTGCGCCGGTAGATGATCCTACAGCAATAGGGGTAGTAAAGAGGATGATACAAACTATGAAGCGTAGACTAGCGGTCATGAAAATTGATAAAACAAATACACCGTACCAACTCGCATCAGCTGTAGCTGAAATTATTAAAACATTGATGATTACACCACATAGCGTAACAGAAATTTCACCATTTGAGGCCCACATGGGACGTAAACCAAACACACCCTTATCAAACGTAGCAACTAGTAGTTGACCTAACCATTTAAATTGGAAAAGCGCAAACCATGCATGTTTAGATCGAAAGAATCTTACAAAGCCGCCACTACCCGCCGAAGTAATGCACGAATTGCAACGGTGGTCAGAAGACGAAGTCAATATCAATAAGAGAGAGCCGAAACTTCAAATGCTTCGGAACTTGACAAACACAGACCTCCCGACAAAAAAAGACACAGGTGCAAAATCTAAAGCTATAGAAACAGTAAAGGATAAATTAAACGTAAGATATAATGGAATACAAACAACAGTAGACAAAAACACAAAAAAAACGGATAGATCAGGCACGGAAAACAGTTAGAACAGCAACGAAGGTTAAGGATCCGAGAACATTCGAAAAAAAACACAAAACCATAGACGGGAAAATTCTCTCGCATACCCCACACACTTGGGTGCAAATATTAGGAAAACAACCAAGACTACTAAGAAATAGCGGTGCCGCGTTTGTCACAACCCCTTTAAATTACGGACCATGCAGACCGTCTCGACTCAGCGATTACGCTGCTTATAAATCCGCACGGAGATCAGGACCATGCCTACGATTTTTAGACATTGAGAACCCTACTGCTCCCCAGCCTCCGAAGTTCAGACAAGACGAAACTGGCCTGCCAAGGAAACTAACCCAAAAATAAAAGGTGTCTGGACAAGCAAATACGGATAGTCCAACAAAGCGAAAAGCAAGAGCAACAGGAAAACGAACCGGCGGGCGCCCGACACAAAAGCTACAAACCAGCGCAATGAGATTGCAAACGGATATCCCCGCCGGAACTTCAAACAATGACATCATCATACAACAACCAGTACCATCAGACAATGACGACCAGGATAATGACGAACAATCATGTGTCTTATCAGAGGATACTGCCCCGTCGCCTAAAAGGCAAAACAAGAAAAGAACACCCCCCGCGATTTCAACGGCACCACTAAGAATATTTACGAGGAACAGCCAATCGTCGCTGTCCACCGCATTAACACTAAACACGACGAAGGAAGGAAGACGTCGCTACAATTTGAAATTGATTCGCCACCGGACAAACAAAATACAGACAACTACCCAAGCCTAAAGTCACTCATCCAAGAAATGGGTTTCACTGAAAAGACCCCACAATACAGAGCATGTGTAAAACTGATTGATGCGATTAGCCCAAAACAGGCCACACCAAAGTAGTAGATTTAACCTCGCCAACAGACGACGACGCCACAGCCGGTAACAATAACGAAATTTTATTCGTGAAAACAAAATTCAACTTGAAGGCGGGATGGAAAAGACGAAGACAAGTAACATATTACAAGAAGACGAGGAACACGAAAGTCAGGGGGAGGGAATTATTAAAGATGACAAGCAAGCAGAGAAGTGATGTCGAAAAGTCCTATTAGGACTATAAAATCAAATCTGTAAGTCCTAAGGGACTCAAAACTCAATTTAAAAACGGTTGTTTAAAAATTTTGTTGTCAAGGGGGATTGTCATCCGGCCTGGACCGACAAACCAACTTTATATATATGTTATTTATATTATCTATAGTCTTATGTTGAACCCCTAGACGGCCGGTCACTTGACCTTGATAGACAGAAGACGAACTATATTTGAAATAAGAATCAGAGTTGAATTAATGTTATCTGTCAACTAGTCGTTTTATATCGCTGACTGAGAATCAAGTTTATCGATCCATTCGGATTCAAGAATTACAATATCATACCCTGCGGTATGACAGATACATTTAGAAATGATCTGACGTAAATTTAGTTTTTCCGTTTTGAAACACGCCCGAAGCTTCCAGCTATTGTCTTAACTCTGATCCTTCACCATCACTAGCACTCGCACCGTGAGCTGAAACATATCTCTATCAAACATAAGGGTTGGCTAAAAAAACATGCCTGCTATTACAGTTCAAACTTCATTTAGGCTAAATTCACGCGAATCTGCCAATTCCATGGTTCAGTGGATTGTTCGCTGTGATTCAAGAAACGATAAGATCTAAACTTGAAGTGATCCAACAATGATTGTTAGTATTAAAATGAAAAATAAACAAAAAACATTCTGTAGGGAAGTGCATAAAGAACAATTTTGTTGATTAAACTTTTTTGATTATGATGTCAGAAAAGTTTCGTGATGTTTTTTGAAGTTTGTCTTGAAATGAATTTTTTTTCAGCACAAAAGATTGTTTGGTTTTGCCAGAGGCTTATATCAAATCAAAAACTCTTTAATAAATGCTTCGCGAATCCTCTATATGGCTGATATTAATGTATGCAAACAGAAACACTTAAGCTACACAGAGGCGAAGCTGCGCTTCACAAACACACGCGAGAAAGCCGAAAAAATTGAAAGAGTGAAACCAGGAAAGAAGGGTTAAATAAGCCTTGAACACTAAAATATTTACCTTGTGGCGGAACCCAAATGCAAAACGACAACTCGTAATAAATGCAACCCGCAATACTCTTACCGTTGCAGTTGCGCCAACAAGTTGCCAGCTAGCCAAGAGAGGGTAGAGCGTTCGACGAAAATTTAACCGGCGACCTTAAACCAGAATTCTGAAGTTTTAAATTATTTTTCAAGACTTGCGAGTTGTCGCTTTCCTTCAATTTTCTGAGTTCTTTTTTGCAACAAGTTGTCGCGGCACCGTTAGAAACATCTGATAAACTTACTGAATTGACGGTCGCAGTAATTTTCAGCATAGAAAATAATTCAAAAACAGTTTGCAAAGCTGAGTTACGCTGTGACAACCTTCTCAAGACTACGCAAAGAGCTGATTGTATAACCTTTTCTCAGACGAAAAAATAGGCAGACTCAGATTCAATTCCGACCATTCTTGTTTCCCCAGAAAAAGATTTTAACCTTTCATACATACTATAAAAATGAGGACAAACCTCGACTCGAAGCCTAGATTATAGAATCTGAAAGCACGTACTTTCTCTCTAGAGCAAGAGGCCTGCAAGCTATTGAGTTTTCATAACATAGCAAGGATTTATAAGTTCTTTACTGGAAAAAAGTCTAGTTCCCGATAACATGTACACAAAGCCAACTGACAGTCGGAAAATTTTCGATGACTAACAAAACTGACTTAATTTTCTTGAACATAGCCAACCGACAGTTCAAAAAGTCAACGAAGGCAAAGCAACAGAAGAAAATCTAACATAAGTGACAATTTTTTTGATAATATGAACTCAAATTGAGAAACCGGAGTAAAAAGTAAATCTTTAGTTCCGCTGACAAACCTAAAATATAATATGCATTTTCGAAATTAGAAGTCAAACACGGTTTTTGTGGCCTTTGATTTTGCTGTTCGATGGTGGAGTTGGTTCCAAGGTGTCATATCTATGGAACTTGTCTCTTGCCAGTTCTAAAGTATTGCTCTGAAACGTGTGCGTAGACCAAGACAATATCCAGCTCTATTTAATTGCTCAAATGCTATTCAGAATGCCCTCATCTGAACAATTGCTTACACGCTTCTCGGATGACCAACCCCGCCACATTAGAAAAACGGACAATAAACGCATTAGTAGTAGTAGTAGAAGTAGTAGTAGTAGTAGTAGTAGTAGTAGTAGTAGTAGATGGAGTTTGACTACCTTTCAACAAAGGAGATGAACTGAACTTGAAAATAAATCAAAATCAAATAACAAAAACTCCTCAAATTTGTGAATTAGTAAACTTTCAGACTTCCTAAAAAGCCAACAAACGATCACGAGGTATAGCGGTCTTCACTACGTTCATTGAACTTGAATTTCAATTTTAGATGTTGCAATAATTATATCTCAATAATTATAAGTCTCAATAGAAATTAAGTTTAGGCAGAGATGCCAGACATTTGAATATTAGATAAACAACAGCACGAAACTTTCAAAGAGGAAGCAAAGCCGACATTCTTTGAGCAGAGACAAGTGGAGCCAAAAAAAAAAAATTAGTTTAATCCAAAAAAGTTAAAAATTTTCATTCCCACCCTGAAACTACATTGAACAAAACTTGCACAACACTTGCGATGCAAAAAAACCCATTGCGCAACAAAGTAGTGAATGAAAAAAAAATAGAAGTAAAAAAAATTATAAAAAATTATATTGGAAAAAAATACCTGAAAAAATCACTTGACAAAAGTGGAAAAATTACAGCTACAAAAACTTCATATTTGTATCGGATGAAGTTCGTAAACAGCCCTTAAAATATGGAAACCATTTACCGAGCGGGAACAAAGGAGACAAACTTTGAAACATAGGCGCTACGCCCAATACACCGAAGGCATAGAAACTGAAGCAAAAACCAAACAACTTGAACAACTAATAATTGAAGAATAACAGTTCTAGAACAAAAAATCGTACTTATACATGTATACACCAAAATTTTGCTATATCGAGAAAGAGCCTGAAATAACAGTTCTAGAACTAAAAATCGTACTAACACATGTATAGGTTAAATTTTTGATATATCAACGAAGATCATAAAATAACACTTCTAGAACTAAAAATCGTACTAACACATGTATACACCAAAATTTTACTATATTGACAAAGGGCCTGAAATAACAGTTCGTGAGCTAAAAATCGTACGAACACATGTATACACCAAAATTTTGCTATATTGGCAAAGATCATGAAATAACAGTTCGAGAGCTAAAAATCGTACTAACACATGTATACGTCAAATTTTTGCTATATTGACAAAGATCATGGAATAACAGTTCTAGAGCTAAAAATCGTACTAACACATGTATACACCAAAATTTTGCTATATTGACAAAGATCATGGAATAACAGTTCGAGAACTAAAAATGGTACTAACACATGTATACAATAAAATTTTGATATATTGACAAAGATCATGAAATAACAGTTCGAGAACTAAAAATCGTAATAACACATGTATACACTAAAATTTTGATATATTGACATAGATCATAAAATAACAGTTCGAGAACTAAAAATGGTACTAACACATGTATACGCTAAAATATTGCTATATTGACGAAGAGCCTGAAATAACAATTCTAGAGCTAAAATCGTACTAACACATGTATACACCAATATTTTGCTATATCGACAAAGAGCCTGAATAAACGTTGTAGAACTAAAAATCTTACTAACACATATATACACCAAAATTTTGCTATATTGACAAAGAGCCTGAAATATTGACAAAGGACCTGAAATAACAATCGTAGAACTAAATGTCGTACTTACGCATTGTAGATCAATTTCTATAGCTATAATAAAATACAAAAGATTGTGTTTGTATGTGTAGCAAAACGCCTCCTGTCGTTTCAATCGGCCAATCGTATAAATTGGCATGTAGACTCATATGGGTCTCCGGAATAACTAAAAATCGTACTTACACATATACTTACAAGAAAGAGCTAAAATGAAAAAAAGCTATTAGTCTTATTATATTGAGAAATTGTGAAGCAGTCTCAGAATTGACAGTATGTAGCAGTAAAACAATCCGAAAAACAAATCCAAAAAACAAAAAAAATACTTGCAAAGACATGACACAGATCTGAAAAATGTACCAATGTTGGTATTCATGAACAAAACTTCAATCAGGTAAAGATATCAGTTAAGTATTCCACGAAATCAAGTTCAAATTCAACCTTCAAAAACTGGCAAGTAATAAAAATGACATAAAACTTCAACGTTCAGCGTCAAACTGATTACGGAACGTCAAATTTAAACGGACGCCATTCCATTTCTCAAACGATCCATCGGGTGCAGTGGATCCTCTCAAGATGCTGTGCTTCCAGTCTTTCTGGCAAGCTCCGAGCATGGTAAAAACGCTACCATGTGGCAACAAAACAGAAACTTCAGAGCGCGTGGTCCCGTTTCTTTTCATTGCAAAGCGTCGGGTGGCTCCAAGGGATACGCTGGCAATGGTTGGATAATCAGGAATACCACGTTCGTTGTCAGCGTGAAATCCAACTCCCTAAAAATACTGATAGGCAAAGTACATTTTCTATGTTATCTAATTGTTATGACGGTATTTTGTGATATTACCTCTTCGAGGGAACAATAAATGTTGATGAGGACACTGTTGAAGGAAACTTTGAGTTCTTTCTCCAACAAGGTCTTTAACAACAACAACTGTGGTGACCAAGAGTTGTTGGGCGGGTGGCGAACGCTTCCATATGAGTATGGAACCTCTGAAATCCACTTGACAGAGCGCCCGTTGACATGTGTCCAAGATTCCTGTTTGTATGATTTGTAAAGCTCTGCAAAGAGGGAATCAGCTATGCTCAAAACAGATTTATTGCAAACGTCAAGGGAAATTTGAGAGACGCCAAACACTGAAGATGAGCTGATAGTAAACGGCTGCAAAAATAAAATTATGACATTTAAGTGCTCAGTGGAATACAACAGAAAAAAAAATAGAATAGACAAAAAGTATTTACCACGGCAGATGTCAAAAGAGTTAAGGATACTCTCTCACAAATTAATTTCGCCAAATTCAGGCAGCCCATTTGCGACAAATGAACACCATCGGTAGATAAATGTGTATAGCGCAATAGTCCAACGGGAATAAATGACCAATCTGAAGACTTGATGGCTGTATCCAACGCGCGGATTTCACGGTAAAAGTCCTTGCGAACAATTGGACTAAAAATACAATGTAGTTTATTTTTTCTCTAAACTTCATTAAAAAAACAGCAAAACCGATACCTGATGAACAATGTACATTATTATTATTACTGAATTAGTCATTTTATGAAAATGTTACCAAAGGAGCAGGACTTCAAAGCCAGCATCGCGAAGAGGAGAAGCAAGTGACATAATCAACATAGCAAGTGTGGCCTTTGCCAAGCTCGCGAGAGAAGCATCGGTATGGGCAATGCTTGGTTGTAACACAATATCTTGTTGGCGGGGACACATGTCGTTTGCACCAACAGCAAGAATAACGCGAGCTGGTTTCAAGGCTTTTATCTCTTCGACATGAGTGTCATTGATGGTACTGACTTTCAGTCCAGATTTCACTATAACCGACGTATCGGAAAGTCTGATAAGGTATTCGTTAAATCCTTTTAACATAGAATCGCCAAACAAAACAGTGGACGTCATTTCTGAAAAAAAATTATATCACCATCATTGTGTTATAGAAACCATTACAATAAATTTGAACTACGGAAAAAAGTACATTGCAAAAATATATTTGTGAAAACCAATATAAATAATAACATCGCTCTGCTCAGACGTGGGCTATGATAACGAACATTCGCTCAGAAATAAATGCAACAATATTACAGTAATTAAAAATTTGTCAGCGTTTATAAAATAATCAGTCTTGTTAAAAATTAATAAAAAAGGGCGCTTAACACGTACTTGGCTTTGACAGAATGGTTTGCCAACATTATAATAACAAAAAATGGCGAATATTTCTCAATAGTCAGTATTGAACGCACGTAAAACATTAATAACAATCAGATTACAACAACAGCTTCATGAACCTTCATATGCGCAGTTGGAATGTTCCCTTGTAAATTATAGATGTTTCCAGAAGAATGATTCACTTTTGTTCTCTTACGATATATTGTTGGCAAATGCATTTTGAAACAAGGGAATATCACAAATAAATATGTCTTGTAAAGATAATGTTACATCAACAGTCATGAAAGTTATAGATAGTGAGCCAAAATTCGTAACCAGTTATGCATTTCCGTTGTTGTCATCATCGCAGAGCACGAGTTAAAAATAAATATATACACAGATTAGTTAAACTAAAGAAATTGTGTACCTAATACAAGTATACACAGACCAGTTGATTGAAACTACAGTGTACCTAATACAAGTATACACAGCAGTTGAAATAGAAAAACTGTGTATCTAATACAAGTATACACAGATCAGTTGAATGAAACTACAGTGTACCTAATACAAGTATACACAGCAGTTGAAATAGAAAAACTGTAAACCTAATACAAGTATACACAGACCAGTTGATTGAAACTACAGTGTACCTATTACAAGTATACACAGACCAGCAGTTGATTGAAACTACAGTGTACCTAATACAAGTATACACAGACCAGTTGATTGAAACTACAGTGTACCTAATACAAGTATACACAGCATCTGAAATAGAAAAACTGTGACCAGTTGATTGAAACTACAGTGTACCTAATACAAGTATACACAGCAGCTGAAATAGAAAAACTGTGTACCTAATACAAGTATACACAGACCAGTTAATTGAAACTACAGTGTACCTATTACAAGTATACACAGATCAGTTAAACTAAAGAAACTGTGTACCTAATACAAGTATACACAGATCAGTTGATTGAAACTACAGTGTACCTAATACAAGTATACACAGCAGTTGAAATAGAAAAACTGTGTACCTAATACAAGTATACACAGACCAGTTGATTGAAACTACAGCGTACCTAATACAAGTATACACAGCAGTTGAAAAAAAACTGTGTACCTAATACAAGTATACACAGACCAGTTGATTGAAACTACAGTGTACCTAATACAAGTATACACAGCAGTTGAAATAGAAAAACTGTGTACCTAATACAAGTATACACAGATCAGTTGATTGAAACTACAGTGTACCTAATACAAGTATACACAGCAGTTGAAAAAAAACTGTGTACCTAATACAAGTATACACAGACCAGTTGATTGAAACTACAGTGTACCTAATACAAGTATACACAGCAGTTGAAATAGAAAAACTGTGTACCTAATACAAGTATACACAGATCAGTTGATTGAAACTACAGTGTACCTAATACAAGTATACACAGCAGTTGAAAAAAAACTGTGTACCTAATACAAGTATACACAGACCAGTTGATTGAAACTACAGTGTACCTAATACAAGTATACACAGCAGTTGAAATAGAAAAACTGTGTACCTAATACAAGTATACACAGATCAGTTGATTGAAACTACAGTGTACCTAATACAAGTATACACAGCAGTTGAAAAAAAACTGTGTACCTAATACAAGTATACACAGACCAGTTGATTGAAACTACAGTGTACCTAATACAAGTATACACAAAAGTTGAAATAGAATAACTGTGTACACTAAATGAAAGAAAGAATAATTAAATAAATATAGAAATAAATATCAACAAATAAACAAAACACACCTGATAAATAAATAAGCAATAAAAAAATAAATCAATACATAAATAAATAAATAAATACATAAATAAATACATAAATAAATAAATAAATATAAGCAAACTAAACATAATTAAATAAATAGAAGAACAGATAATTAAATAAATAAAGATGAACAAATAAAGAAACAAACATACGCAATCACGTGACATAGCGCGATATAGTCCAGCCCACATGATAATTGATAACTGTGGACGTTATTTGTCGACACTTGACAACAGACAACATTAAAAAAAAAACCCCGTTACACGATACCATAACACCTTGACTAAAGTCTTCGGTGTAATCAAAACCTGTTGAGCCGAAATTAAACTGTCATAAATAATTTCAAGAAAATTAAAAAATTTTACGACCCATCCAAACTGAAACACATATTCCCAGACGGATAATTTTGCCCTCGAAAAACTACACACAATAAAATGACTAAGTCGATATACCATAAGCTGAGACTCTTGAATATTAAAAAAACCTTAAATGTTTTTTAAAAAAATCAGATTGGCAAAATTTCAGTAAGGGAAAAAAAATTGAATTAAAACAAAACATATGCTTCAAAAAGTACGCCAGTTAAAACTCTATAAGATTTTTAAAAATGGCTTTTAAAAAATGGAAAATTAACCGACAGAAACTAAGACAAAAACCACGAACCCGAAAAAAACTCAAACAGTTTTTTGAAAAGATAATTACGTGAAACTTGAAAATATAATTACAACCCTTGAAAAGATAATTACAACGTGAAACCAGAAGATCCTCTAGAAGTGAAGATCCTCCACAAGATGAGAGCCTCCTCTAGAAGTGTGGACAAAATTGTTTACGGGAAAATTCTGGTACCCGATTGCAATATCTTAGAGCAAGAAAAATCCGTATCCGCAATCTTTGAGCAGACACAAGTTGAGACAAAAAAAACAATTTATGAAAAAATTTTCACATCCCCCTGAAACAATCAAGAACAGCAATTGCATTTGCAAGTATAATGAAATTTGTTTACAGCACAAGCAAAACCGGGGTGTGAAAACGAAACAGTAATAAAGTTAAGCCGAAAAAAATGAACTAATTTGATTAAAAAAAAGAAGTGAAATAAGAAAAACAGGCCTTGAATAATATAACTTCGAACCTCTGACATAATAAATAGGAGTATCATGTCCTCGCATCTACGCCACGGGCTCTTGAAAGTTTATCAACGCCAGCCGCCAATGAAGCAAATACAGATGTTAAAAAACCGCCAATGCTATGCAACAAAAATTCCACAAAACAAAAAAAAATAGTTTTAAGTGAGGTATTGAACCTGCGACCAGTAGAAAAGGAGTCTCGCATCCTTCCATCTGTGAAAACGATCACGATTATGACGGAATTGCCATCAAATGAGCACTTTTTTGCAATTTTGATTTGAAAACAGTAGATTCTAATTATTAACTACGCTCGATAGTTCGCACGTAAAAAAAACTGCATCAAGAGCTTTTATTCCGCTGAAAAATTTAAAAACTAATGTCTATTACCTTAGCTACTGATGATTTTGCGCCACAACTGAAAAAAGATCAACTGGATCTTGTTAACTATTCCCCTCCCCCCACTATTTCGAGTTCCAGAACCAATCAAAGTAAAAGACAAGGCAGAAATATTAACTTAATAAAATAATTAAATTTAAAACAAGTTTTTGAAAACAACCAAAAAGATATATACATGAAAAACATTAATATTTGCAAAAGGAAAAAATTTCATAAATAGATTGACAAAGCATAAGCACAGTGCAATTTCAGGCCAGTTACAAAGGAGTATTTGGCCAATCACAGACAATATCCAGATGCAGGTGGTTGCACTAGTTCATTTCATTATAGAACCATTAGACTGCAATTGCTCAAAATCAGGACACATTATTGCTTGTAATAGATGATTTGTCGTCCAGCAGCTAATCCGAGAGAAGATGAAATTGTCGAGGAATGTGTAAACTAGGCAGGATATGGTTTCATGTCATGTCATGTCATGTCTTCGTTCGCACTAGTAGTCCTCGGCCATGAGTAGGAGTACTAGGGAAGTCCAGCCAGTGAATGGGTGAGCTCCCTGTCCCTTCCCACTCAAATCATTGTAGTTCTCCCACACGAATCCACTCACTTGGTATTGTCTACACACACAACACTCTTTAAAAGTATATACCAATGCTAAGCATTGAATACCGCTATAAAAACTATTCAAACAATCATTGCGATATGAATTACTAATGAAAACTCATTTTACATGCCAACCGATTTTGAAAGGGACGGATGGAGACAGAAAAGAAATAGTAAGATATAAGTTGTAACCTGAATATGTTTTGTATGAGGTTGTTTCTCAGCTCAGAGTAAATCTGTTTGGCCGTGTGTGCATGTGGTCCCCCCATCTGCGAGTAGTGGTGCAGTGCCCTGAGGAGCATGTAGTTCATGTTCACCCATATCTGACCCCTCCAGTAGGGCGGGTCATGCTCCGTGTTCCTCTTCATGTACAGGGGGTCCTGCTTAGACAGTGACCTACACAGCCAACCAACAATTACTTATTTCTTCGAGCTGCTTATGGATATAAAAAAAAAACAATAACAAAAACTGAATACGTTCAAAGCTGTCAGTTGAACCGTGAATTCATCTCGCTTTAAATCTGAGACCTCAGAGAAAGTTTGCGGCTTAAGATAAACTCATGCAAAGAAAGCGATGTCATACAAAATGTTCGCTCTACTATCCATTTGACTTATTAAATGTTCACCAGTTCATTTTGTTATTTTTGTCTAATAAAACAATCTTTTTTTCACTTTAATAAGTTTTATCTGACCGTAGACATCGTACAGACCTCATATTTTGACAAATAAACAACAGCTAATTAATTTCATTTCTACTTCTTTCCTGTCAACGGAAAACCACCTTATTGTCTTCTGATTGCCTACGTGTCTTCACTCTATTTTTCGCTTCCATCATAGGGCGGTTGGGTAAATATTCGAAACTTTTCAATATGCTAAAAATTTCCCATTAGATGCATTAACCACTATAAACGATGTTGATAATTGAACGAAAGAACCCGAGTCGAGATTTGCACCTAATTTGAAGCAAGAATTGAGCGTTTTTTTAAGACGATTGCGCTCAAAATCTTGCTTCAAACTGAGCGGTTTTTGAACGGTTTATCAGAAAAGATCGCCTAAAACGCTCAAATCTTGTTGGAAAACCGCTCATATCTTGAGCGGTTTTTGAGCGGGATCTCGACCCGGAAAAGAGCCAGCTTACCTGATTCCATAAGGCGTCCACAGTGTGTTTGGGTTTCTGATGTGGCCCAATGTTAGACCCAACTCAGCACAGTCTGGGGGCATCAGTCGCATCATGAGGGGGAACAGACTGACATAGCCCAGATGCGGCACGTGCACTGGCACAGAAGACACTGACTCCACCACCCTCCGCACCATCTGGGGATCCGGCTCCTGAGGGTGTTTCTTCTTTACAGCAGGACGAACTACAAAACACATTCCAGCCAAACTCAAAAATCTCAACTTCGAATTTAAAAGAAAGGACATAGCCAACTGACAGTTGGAAAAGACTATTGAACGCAAGGAAACTGAACAAAACGACTTGTTTTTCAAAAGTTTTCAACTTTTGAATTTCGAAGAAAAAAAAGATCGCCTTAAAGCCCTCTAAATTTTACTTCGCTGGGAAATCTGATAATTAATTTCCACTTTCGAAATTAGAAGTTGATCTAGCTTTTCGTGACCTTCACAATTTTGCTGTTTTCCTACCTTTTAACAATAAAATGGACTGAACTTTAAAAAAAATCACAAGTCAAAACGCGAAAAAATAAAATTGAGGGTGAACAAACTAGTACTTTTCCCGAAAAAAAAAACAAAAATCAGCAAGATCTATATAAGAGTACTCACTAGGTTCTTTACTCTTAAAAATAGATCGCCTTAAAGCCCTCTAAATTTCAGGAACATTTTATGATAGACACAATTTTTTTTGCTCTTGTTAAAAGATCGCCTCAAGTTAATTGAACTTGAAAAATGGATCGATAGATAACTTTTTTTCGAAGGAAATCTGAAAAATTAAAGTCCGCTTTGGCACATAGATTTCGATCACGTTTTTCGTGACCGCCACACTTTCGCTGTAGGAAAGTGGAGTTTGCCTTCCTTTCAACAAAGGAAATGAACTGAACTTGAAAAGAAATCATAAGTAACACCGCGAAAAATTAATAACATTTGACCCTGAACTTGACTTTTCCTCAAAAAAACATAGCCAATAAAGATTGGAAAAGAGTAATGAACGCAAGAAAATATTTAAAAAAAAAACCACTGACTTTGTTGAAAAAATCTCAACTATAGATTTTCAAAAATATAGATGCCCTTTAAGCTCTTCGAATTAAGCTACGATTAATGTTGGCGCTTTTTTGATAACATTAACCCATCTTGAGAAAACTGGATCAACATGTAAAAGTTTTATTTCGCTGGAAATCTAAAATTTAAATTCCAATTTCGAAACTACAAATCGTTCACATTTTTTCGCGCCATTCGTATTTGGAGCGCTATTTACGTCACTATCAGCAGATGAAAAGTGCATATGTATCTAAGTGCATTCATAAGTGCATCAATTTGTATGAATGCACATCCGTAGTTATTAGAGACTTTTATGCACATTTTAAAGACTGTTTCCGAAAAAAAAAATCAGCAAGACCTATATGAGAGTCTTCACTACGTTCATTACTCTTAAACAAAAAAAATCATCACAATCTTTATAAGAGTCTGAGCTACGTTCATCGACTCTTAAACAGGCTAACAAAGGCAAGTTAAAAACAAAAATAAACTTTGAAAAATCTGCCATCTGCTAGATTCGAACTCGAACTCCAAGTCTACACAACTGTGCTACGTACACTTAGCCACTAAAAAAGCAAATGAATCGAACGCATGCTATTAAATTACAAATGATAAAACGCTATCCAGCAAAAAAGTCACAAAAATGAGTTGAAAAAGTTACGCTCACAAGTTACGCTAAAAAAAAAACGCACATCCGAAATCTGAAAAAATAAGCTCAGCGTTCAGAAAACATTTTCTGTACAAGCTGGTATTGTACCTTCCAAAAAAATTTTGGGTCGTCCTGAAGTACCATTCATGGATTACAGAAACAAAAATTTTACGTATTTGCCTATGTTGACTTCTGCTAATCACTATGACCTCTGAATCTTGAACAACTACCATTGGTTAAGTACTAAAACTAATACATCTGTTCCAGAATAACGACATCAGAAGTTCTGGTGCTTTATTAACTTTCCGGTTCTAGGTCAAAGCAAGATAGCGAAGAGTTTTTGGTGCAGTGCCAGAACTCTCAACAGCTGGCCCTATAAACCTGCGATACCCGTGCTGTTCGATTCTTTCTATTTTCAATTTTTAATATCTCATCATTTTTTATGAATGTTATAACTTACGGGCTCAATCAGAGAAGAGAAGCGATTCTGGTTATTTTCTAATTTCTAGTGGTTTAGAACTGCGATATCAATTAAAGATGTCACAGACGTGACTAATTTGAAAAGACAGTATGTCATGGCATCAATGAGATTGAACTTGACTTTCCAGTACAAGGAGTCAACCTAACTGAATTGCGATTTACGAGCTAAACAGAAAACAAAACAGATCAACGATTCAACGCCAACGACGTTTATGAAAAAAAACTCCAACTTTATGCTTAATTCTTTGACCTTCACGGTTTTGAGAAGTGTTAGCAAATACACTTGCTGACAAAATTAAATGCAAATTCAGGTTTTACTTTCTAAAATGACTGTTTTCAATTTGCATTTTTGACAACATTATCTTCGATCTTCAAAAATTTTACATATAAAAAGATCAAATCATCAGAGCTAGAATCTATGGAACTACCAAGATTTGGTTTTAAAGACTTACCAATGTATTCCGGATCTGAAAGCGCCAGTTTTCCTCAACTGCACTAAGTTTTTCAATCCACGTGAAAAACTCGGTAACAGCCGATTTTAGTAAGAATTTCACACTGATTATTTCAATTTTCTCTGAGATTGTTTCACGTCGCACGAGCAATTTATTTGCTCTGCTTTTTCGAGAAAGAATTCACTAAGATGCTAAACTTAGTGCAGATAAGGAAATCTGGCTTTTTCAGACCCGGATTATATTGGTAAGTCTTTGAAACCAAATCTTGATAGTTTCGTAGATTGTAGCTCTGATGATTTACGCATCTTCTATGTAAAAAATTTGCTGAAAAAGAAAGTAAAAGTTGTCAAAAAGCACATTGAAATGGCCATTTTAGAGAGTTAACCTGAATTTGCGCTTAATTTTTTCCACTTGTGTATATGAATATGTTTTTACAAGACAGCTTTAATTCTACAGAATAGAAATCTCTGTTGTCTTTGCACGGCAAGGTGGTTCTGAAAAAAAATTCGAACTGGCATGATATAAATTTTTCTATAGTTACGATACAAACTTTGACTCAACCTTCCAACTGACACAAACATTTGTTTAAACGGAAACGAAACTTTTTTGGTCCTCCTTAAATCAGTAAAGATTTTGACTGTAACTAAAAAAACTAAGTACTAGCTAATAACTACTAAACACTAATGTTTTGACTTGGGCAATAGATGTATTTTCCCCCGTTCAAAACGTAGACAAAATGGTATTTCTATTTCGTCCAATGGAACACCAAGCAAGCGTAACTCAGATGCGAAGTTGCACTTTGCATACATAGGCAAAAATATGACCGATAACGGTACTGGGAAAGACTGAATGAGTAAAACTTTGAGTCTAGAAAATTTGTTAACTGACGCACGCCAATTATGAGTCTACATAAATGCTACGTGACGCAAGCCACTTATGACGCATTAGCAGTACCAGCCAATTTGAAAAAAAAAATGTACTAACTAACATGCCTCAATTTATTTAGCAGACTCATTTTAAATAGGATACGGAAAAGTTCATTAAAAACATCCGACCCTGCCTAAATTCGAACCCTCTTATTTTGTTGCGGTTCTCCTTACCTACCTATACTCCACAGATCCACGATGCCTTGAAGCTAAAAGTGCTACTTGTATAATAATAGTCTGTGTTAATATCCGCAGCATTGGCTGTACTTAATAGCTGGTTATTGATCGAAATAAATTGCGAACTAGGTATGGAAAAAAAGAGACTTCATACTATAACACAAGCTTTGCTTGTGTAATCATCACAGAGAGACTACCGTGCTGCTACTGACCTAGGGTTACATGGTGTGAGTGGGTGCCTATGTCGGTGAAGTGTTTGTGTTCATTTGACCAGTGCAGTGACTTCAGCAGAGAGAAGTCTGTCAGAGTATCCCTCCAGTTGGACAGAGATGTGACGTCAGAGAGAGATACTTTCTCCGACACCTTCGTCAACACCTACAAAACAAAGCTTCATTCCATTCATATTTAAAAGGATGAATCTGCCCTGACGCTTTTCAATGTTTTGACTGCTCTTCTACTAGAAACTATCCTTTAAGGTAAATCTTGATCTTCATATGGCACATAGGTTAAGCTTAAAGCTAGGCTCCCGACGCTACGGTCACTGAATCTTTTAAAAAAGTGTAGGGTACAAAGTGTGATAAGTGATAATATTATTCTAAATTATAGAATACAAGCTGCCATAAAAAAGACCCTACTTTAGCTAAACCCTAAACCTAGCTTTATCACACATAACATCAAAAAAGCGTGATTTCAACAAAACAAAATCTGTGTATAGAGCAAATAATTTTGTTAACATAGAGCCAGCCAATTAAATAGTCATCTTTATGCAGGGGTCACCTATTGTAAGCCATTGCCTAGATAGATTTGTATTTGTAGTTGTACCTGTGCAGTGAGTGCCATCCAGCACCTGAGGTCCACGTGGTACTCCTCTGGACTTGGGTGGGATGCCCTGGGGTAGTCATCCAGGCCCGAGCTGAGCGACTTCGGATTCAGTTCCAGCGCAGTGCTCGTGTTCCTCCCCTTCCACTGGAATGTTGTCGCTATTGGACCCGTCTGCGTCGTGTTGTACCTGCAACAAACAAATGAAACTTAGCGTCTCTAAACTCGGCATTCTTCGATTTATTTATCGACAAACAATTGTTGTTCGAAAACAAAAAATGAAGATTATCAAACACAATTTTTACACAGAGGCGAAGCTTCACCTCGCAAACACTAGCGAGAACACGACAAAAAGCAACTCTAGAAAGCGCAATAAGAAAAAATAGACATAAGAATCGAAAAAGCAAAAATTCGGCTAGGTCTAGGGTTCGATCTGTGACCAACTGCTATCAAGAGATTATGAGTCTCACGCACTAACCACTCGGTCATGCTCGCTTAACCACCGACAAACACTAGACACGAATAAAGCAGCTACATATGCTAAAAAAATTGTCAATTCCATTCAGCAAAAGTGGCACCAAATACAAATAGACACAATTTTGCACAAGTATCAATTTAGAAACTCAAGTAATAATTTAGAATATAACATTTTGCATGTAACAAATCGCAAAGCATTGAGCCACATTATTAAGTGGCACCAAAAAATTAGAAAAAAAGAAAGTTCTTAATAATACACTAAGCTGACTCTAGTGTAATCATTCTCGTTGGTTGTACACAGGCGCCCTTGACTCAACAATCAAAACACTGTTGTGCATCTGAGCAATCAAAACACTGTTGTGCATCTGAGCTTTATCTTACCATGAGACCCACTGGAGTAGCTTTGGATATAGTTTGCGCAGAAAGTGGTCTGGAATGAGGTCCCTGTCCAGCATGTAGTCCACAGTCAGGAGGAAAGAGGGTGGGTTGGCATTGCTAGTATGTTGCACTATGAACTCACGCGGCACCCGAGCTGAACAGACAGACTGTTTCAAATCGAATCAACGTGTGAGACTCAATCTACTTGCTTCTTTATAGACTAATAACCCTTTTCTTCGTGCTTTTACAGTCACTAATTTGAATTCTTGAGGACTTGGGGAAGTATTGAACCCTTTGGCAACAATGAATTGATACAAAATAGGTTATGAGCACCGCTATTAACCTAAAGCCTCGCTGCCGAGTATCTGTTCTCTTGGGATCCAGCCCTCCGCATTCATGAGGTCCATCCAGTGAGCCAGCACATCCAGCGAGATGGAACTGTTCCATCTGGAGATAGACAGCTGGTGGAAGCCCTCGTCCCACAGGAACCCACGCGGGAAGAAAGACCTGCCAACAAACGGAGCAAAGTTGAGCACAATGCAAAGCTGTAGGTTGTTGTGTACACATTGACGATGAGTAACGTCGGCATTGAACTGTCAACTTAATTGTTAATTACCAAATTCACCATTAGCGGGAAGTTAAGCAATCGGCAATTTCTTGAGCATTGCATTTTGTGTTCATAACAATAGCTAGCGAATCTCTAAAAAAAAATAGCGGTTTCGACATTTTACAGGATCTTTTTTTTTCAATTTTTTTGAAACTTTGCTGATTGAAAACAGCGTTAAATGAAGATGCCAATACTCCGTTCTCAAAACTAAAAAGATTGTATGTCTTCGTGAAAAGCATTTTCCTCTACTTGCTTTACTCACTGTAAAATTGCACATGAAAATAAAAACTTGAATATTATATATCAACTACTCCCATCTGACGTTTATTTATGGTACCTGACTTAGCGAGGAAAAAAGCAGAAAAATTGAAACACCCAAATACAAATTTGTTCGCCACTGTCAGGGGTCAGAACAAATCGTATCTACTTTCTCTTCTATATCGGTACTGCTGTGGCAACTATCACTGACTGACCTGGATGGGACTGCAGTGAAGAGTGGAGTGTACCAGTAGGCTAGAGGCGCTTCGAACTGGTCCGTCTGGATGGCACTGGCCCCGTAGAAGTAGCCCATGCCCCCTATGAGGTTGCTGAACACTGCCTCTGCAAACCCCACTTCCTCCTCTGAGAAGCCCTTCTCTCTCAGTCGGAATGTATGTTCAAAACGACTGTGAAACTGAGACAAGTGATCCCCCAACTCCCTCGAGTACACGTCGCCAACTAGTCTCTCTTTCCTAATAATGTGACTGGCTGACTCAAATGCAGCTTCTATGGAGAAGGCGCCTGTGCCTGACACCTGGCTCACTATCAGGTTCAGTGGCAGGTCTGGGTTACTGGCACTCTGCCTGATCTGATCAATGCGCGATCCAGGCAGCACCGCGAACCGCTGTCCCTACAGAGTATTGTATTGAAAGATTAGATTGATTACATTTCATAGAAGAAAAAGAAATTATTTCGCTTTTCATAATACAATTTTATCCAAGAATTCATCATTTTTTTAAACTGAAGTATAAGTATTTGATATAAAGGGCAACAACTGTGACAGAGCGAGGATAGGCAAAGGGTTTGATGACCCACTAAACGCCGCTATAAAATCGGGCAGAAGAACATCCCTTTTTTGAAAAATTTGGCTATTTCAAGAAATATGAACATGTCCTATAGAACCAAAACTGAGTAACCCAGATCTGCAATCCCAAACTCAGCCTTGAGTAGTCAAACGACTATGTTGTCCGAAGATAACACCTCATCTTTTGAAAGAAAACAAATCCAGACTACACTCTCCCGCGTCAGAACAAAGTCTTATTTAGATTCAATGTCCCTGCATCCCTCGCATGACAGGGAAAAAACCCATTGCATCCCCATACTGAGGCTTAATAGCCATAAGGCAATTAAGCCTATTTTCTGGAAAATGCTGAGCACCACCTGCCACGCAATAGGACATCTTAAAATCAAGCCGAGAATATGTACCGCACAAGCTCTGTATTCTTTAGTATAAACATATCCCTAACGTTATGAAACATAGCCAACTGACAGTTGGAAAAGAGTAATGAACGCAAGGAAACTGAAACAAAAACTGACTTGTTTTTTTTCCAAAAAAACTTTTTGAATTTCGATGAAAAAATTAGATGGCCCTAAATCTCTTTGAATTTGTAGAACAATTTATGATGGACACTTTTTTGTTGAAATTAACCCAATTTGACTGGATCAATAGCTAAAACTTTGTATTTCGCTGGGAAATCTGATAATTAATTTCCATTTTCGAAATTAAAAGTCGATCACGTTTTTCGGGACCTTTACAATTTTGCTGTTCGATAAGGGAGTGCTCTTCGATAAAATTAAATTTTCAGGAAGTAAACAATTTCAAAAGAACAGTTAATAATTTAGTACCTCTATTCAAAATTGAATGGCTTTTTGCTTTTGTTTTACAACGTGGAAGCTCGAAGCAAGTATTTTTGATTTTCTCCTAGTCTATAAAAGCTATTTCATAATAAAAACTTTTCCATCATAATCTATAAAAACTATATCATGGAAAATCAACGCATCGGATAGTCAGTGCTATTGGAATATCTAGTCCTACGCTAGATTCAAACGGCGAATTCCTGATTAGATCACTTAGTATAGTTGGCGAGTTAGACTCATTTTTGGCCCTTGAGCGCATGAAAATGATCAACAGTAGCAACAAAAAACAGAAAGCGTATCGCTTAAACGTACGATCGTTCTTTGGATTTAAATCAATGTCGTGTTCATTTTTCTTTCTGATCCAACTTTTCATTAGATTTGTACCTTTTTCGGCCGCTCACCTTTTTAGGGTGGTTGTTTTTCATGGTGACGGCGGAAGAGTAGTGTTGTATGGCCTCTTTGATTAGATGCAGACTGGGCGTGTATGCCTCCAGGAAGTGGTAGCTCAAGTCGCCCTCCCCCTGTTCAAACTTGAGGTCGAAGTATCCCAGTTCGTTGGAGTAGCCTCTCACTGCACTGAGGCGACCATCACTCTCCAACACAGACTCTATCTCCCCCTGTCCATCTAGAGCTACAACACACACACACACAATGCTCACAACACATCTATAGACATACTTATTGAGACATAACAAACCACTCCATCAGGGATTGCCTTAGAACACTCCAAACAACAATCGGAGACACTTATCCAACAGCAACTTATCCTAACTTATATTATTATTACACCATTTAATTTATGACATAGTTTCTTCCTGGAACGGATAAACTTTGAAATAGAGAGAATACACAATGAGCTAGCCTGTGTAGAAGAAGAGTGAGACGTGCAAGTAACTGTCTGTGGCCGGTTGTTTCTCTGGACTATCCTGGCCACTTGGCACTTGAGTGGGGGCACTTGCACTAGGTGGGTGGGGGCTGACTTGTACCCTGGCAGTCCAGTCTCCCCCGTGAATGCCCAGATGGGGTCTCTTCACGAAGGACACATTCAGTACAAAGTCCTTCTCCACAATCTCTTGGTAGCCGAACGACACTCCATCATGTGAGATCCAACCATAGCGAGGCAGTCTACACTCAACACAACAAACAATTCAATCCACAAAATCAAAATCTATTTAGTCGGTATTACATCATCTCACATTTATGGTCAAATGTCTCCATCTCCGTCATGTGAGATCAAACCATAGCGAAGCAGTCTACACTCAACACAACAAATGATTCAATCCACAAAAACACAATCTATTTAGTCGATATTACACCATCTCACATTATGGTCAAATGTCTCCATCTCCGTCATGTGAGATCCAACCATAGCGAGGCAGTCTACACTCAACACATCAAACAATTCAATCCACAAAATCACAATCTATTTAGTCGATATTACACCATCTCACATTTATGGTCAAATGTCTCCATCTCCGTCATGTGAGATCAAACCATAGCGAAACAGTCTACACTCAACACAACAAATGATTCAATCCACAAAAACACAATCTATTTAGTCGATATTACACCATCTCACATTATGGTCAAATGTCTCCATCTCCGTCATGTGAGATCCAACCATAGCGAGGCAGTCTACACTCAACACATCAAACAATTCAATCCACAAAATCACAATCTATTTAGTCGATATTACACCATCTCACATTATGGTCAAATGTCTCCATCTCCGTCATTTGAGATCCAACCATAGCGAGGCAGTCTACACTCAACACATCAAACAATTCAATCCACATAATCACAATCTATTAAGTCGATATTACACCATCTCACATTATGGTTAAATGTCTCCATCTCCGTCATGTGAGATCCAACCATAGCGAGGCAGTCTACACTCAACACATCAAACAATTCAATCCACAAAATCACAATCTTTTTAGTCGATATTACACCATCTCACATTTATGGTCAAATGTCTCCATCTCCGTCATGTGAGATCAAACCATAGCAAAGCAGTCTACACTCAACACAACAAATGATTCAATCCACAAAAACACAATCTATTTAGTCGATATTACACCATCTCACATTATAGTCAAATGTCTCCATCTCCGTCATGTGAGATCCAACCATAGCGAGGCAGTCTACACTCAACACATCAAACAATTCAATCCACAAAATCACAATCTATTTAGTCGATATTACACCATCTCACATTTATGGTCAAATGTCTCCATCTCCGTCATGTGAGATCAAACCATAGCGAAGCAGTCTACACTCAACACAACAAATGATTCAATCCACAAAAACACAATCTATTTAGTCGATATTACACCATCTGACATTATGGTCAAATGTCTCCATCTCCGTCATGTGAAATCCAACCATAGCGAGGCAGTCTACACTCAACACATCAAACAATTCAATCCACAAAATCACAACCTATTTAGTCGATATTACACCATCTCACATTATGGTTAAATGTCTCCATCTCCGTCGTGTGAGATCCAACCAGCGAGGCAGTCTACACTCAACACATCAAACAATTCAATCCACAAAATCACAATCTACTTAGTCGATATTACACCATCTCACATTATGGTCAAATGTCTCCATGTCGGTCATGTGAGATCCAACCATAGCGAGGCAGTCTACACTCAACACATCAAACAATTCAATCCACAAAATCACAATCTACTTAAACGGTATTACACCATCTCACATTTATGGTCAAATGTCTCCATCTCCGTCATGTGATATCAAACCATAGCGAAGCAGTCTACACTCAACACAACAAATGATTCAATCCACAAAAACACAATCTATTTAGTCGATATTACACCATCTCACATTATGGTCAAATGTCTCCATCTCCGTCATGTGAGATCCAACCATAGCGAGGCAGTCTACACTCAACACATCAAACAATTCAATCCACAAAATCACAATCTATTTAGTCGATATTACACCATCTCACATTATGGTTAAATGTCTCCATCTCCGTCATGTGAGATCCAACCATAGCGAGGCAGTCTACACTCAACACAACAAATAATTCAATCCACAAAATCAAAATCTATTTAGTCGATATTACACCATCTCACATTATGGTCAAATGTCTCCATGTCGGTCATGTGAGATCCAACCATAGCGAGGCAGTCTACACTCAACACATCAAACAATTCAATCGACAAAATCACAATCTACTTAGTCGGTATTACACCATCTCACATTTATGGTCAAATGTCTCCATCTCCGTCATGTGAGATCAAACCATAGCGAAGCAGTCTACACTCAACACATCAAACAATTCAATCCAAAAAATCACAATCTATTTAGTCGATATTACACCATCTCACATTATGGTTAAATGTCTCCATCTCCGTCATGTGAGATCCAACCATAGCGAGGCAGTCTACACTCAACACAACAAATAATTCAATCCACAAAATCAAAATCTATTTAGTCGATATTACACCATCTCACATTATGGTCAAATGTCTCCATGTCGGTCATGTGAGATCCAACCATAGCGAGGCAGTCTACACTCAACACATCAAACAATTCAATCCACAAAATCACAATCTACTTAGTCGGTATTACACCATCTCACATTATGGTCAAATGTCTCCATGTCGGTCATGTGAGATCCAACCATAGCGAGGCAGTCTACACTCAACACATCAAACAATTCAATCCACAAAATCACAATCTACTTAGTCGGTATTACACCATCTCACATTTATGGTCAAATGTCTCCATCTCCGTCATGTGAGATCAAACCATAGATAGCGAAGCAGTCTACACTCAACACAACAAATGATTCAATCCACAAAAACACAATCTATTTAGTCGATATTACACCATCTCACATTATGGTCAAATGTCTCCATCTCCGTCATGTGAGATCCAACCATAGCGAGGCAGTCTACACTCAACACATCAAACAATTCAATCCACAAAATCACAATCTATTTAGTCGATATTACACCATCTCACATTATGGTTAAATGTCTCCATCTCCGTCATGTGAGATCCAACCATAGCGAGGCAGTCTACACTCAACAACAAATAATTCAATCCACAAAATCAAAATCTATTTAGTCGATATAACACCATCTCACATTATGGTCAAATGTCTCCATGTCGGTCATGTGAGATCCAACCATAGCGAGGCAGTCTACACTCAACACAACAAATGATTCAATCCACAAAAACACAATCTATTTAGTCGATATTACACCATCTCGCATTATGGTCAAATGTCTCCATCTCCGTCATGTGAGATCCAACCATAGCGAGGCAGTCTACACTCAACACATCAAACAATTCAATCCACAAAATCACAATCTATTTAGTCGATATTACACCATCTCACATTATGGTTAAATGTCTCCATCTCCGTCATGTGAGATCCAACCATAGCGAGGCAGTCTACACTCAACAACAAATAATTCAATCCACAAAATCAAAATCTATTTAGTCGATATAACACCATCTCACATTATGGTCAAATGTCTCCATGTCGGTCATGTGAGATCCAACCATAGCGAGGCAGTCTACACTCAACAACAAATAATTCAATCCACAAAATCAAAATCTATTTAGTCGATATAACACCATCTCACATTATGGTCAAATGTCTCCATGTCGGTCATGTGAGATCCAACCATAGCGAGGCAGTCTACACTCAACACATCAAACAATTCAATCCACAAAATCACAATCTATTTAGTCGATATTACACCATCTCACATTATGGTTAAATGTCTCCATCTCCGTCATGTGAGATCCAACCATAGCGAGGCAGTCTACACTCAACACAACAAATAATTCAATCCACAAAATCAAAATCTATTTAGTCGATATTACACCATCTCACATTATGGTCAAATGTCTCCATGTCGGTCATGTGAGATCCAACCATAGCGAGGCAGTCTACACTCAACAACAAATAATTCAATCCACAAAATCAAAATCTATTTAGTCGATATAACACCATCTCACATTATGGTCAAATGTCTCCATGTCGGTCATGTGAGTTCCAACCATAGCGAGGCAGTCTACACTCAACACAACAAATGATTCAATCCACAAAAACACAATCTATTTAGTCGATATTACACCATCTCACATTATGGTTAAATGTCTCCATCTCCGTCATGTGAGATCCAACCATAGCGAGGCAGTCTACACTCAACACAACAAATAATTCAATCCACAAAATCAAAATCTATTTAGTCGATATTACACCATCTCACATTATGGTCAAATGTCTCCATGTCGGTCATGTGAGATCCAACCATAGCGAGGCAGTCTACACTCAACAACAAATAATTCAATCCACAAAATCAAAATCTATTTAGTCGATATAACACCATCTCACATTATGGTCAAATGTCTCCATGTCGGTCATGTGAGATCCAACCATAGCGAGGCAGTCTACACTCAACACAACAAATGATTCAATCCACAAAAACACAATCTATTTAGTCGATATTACACCATCTCACATTATGGTTAAATGTCTCCATCTCCGTCATGTGAGATCCAACCACAGCGAGGCAGTCTACACTCAACACAACAAATAATTCAATCCACAAAATCAAAATCTATTTAGTCGATATTACACCATCTCACATTATGGTCAAATGTCTCCATGTCGGTCATGTGAGATCCAACCATAGCGAGGCAGTCTACACTCAACAACAAATAATTCAATCCACAAAATCAAAATCTATTTAGTCGATATAACACCATCTCACATTATGGTCAAATGTCTCCATGTCGGTCATGTGAGATCCAACCATAGCGAGGCAGTCTACACTCAACACAACAAATGATTCAATCCACAAAAACACAATCTATTTAGTCGATATTACACCATCTCACATTATGGTTAAATGTCTCCATCTCCGTCATGTGAGATCCAACCATAGCGAGGCAGTCTACACTCAACACAACAAATAATTCAATCCACAAAATCAAAATCTATTTAGTCGATATTACACCATCTCACATTATGGTCAAATGTCTCCATGTCGAACATGTGAGATCCAACCATAGCGAGGCAGTCTACACTCAACAACAAATAATTCAATCCACAAAATCAAAATCTATTTAGT